ACATTTCAAGTGCTCAGAGTCACACGTGCTTAGTGGCTACCATACTTATTGCCCAGCACAGGGAACATATCCATTATCACAGCAAGGTCTACTTGATAGCATGGGTCTGGAGCAACGCTTGAAAAATAGTCATCACCTAATAAATATTTGTTGAATAAATGGATGAATCAATGCCCCTTTTAATCCTTACTCAACTGTAGGTCGCCCTTCCCCTTTTGTGGTTTCTAAACCCTACAAACGTGATCAACTAGAGGATGCCCAGAGAACGACATTCAGTTTGGCCAGGGGCCCAAACGAACGTTACAGGAGACAGGGTTGTGGCAAGAGGCCCTCCCGGAGGAGAATACTTATGATGATATGATTATGCTTCCACAATAGAGGAAGAACTGATCATTAGAAGAGAATTATATTTGTGTTGTATGATTTCAGAGACTTAAGGACAAAAAGGGCAGATTTAGGGACACAGTGAGAAAACATCCCAGCAAAGCTCTCCCTATACAACCTAGGCTGATTTGTGCGATAATGACTTCACCATTGCCAAAAGTACTAAAAATGAGACTGAGCGGATATGTGTTACAGGTATTACGGAAAAAAAAAGGGATACTTGATTCTCAAATACGGAGAAAGGTCTAGTTATTGAGAAACCTTAAAACGCTGAGATTCTTTGATCAAATGGCCCCATGACCCCTTCATAACATCAATTTCAAAGAGTTAATACTATGCCCTGATCTATACTAAAATCCCCTGAACAACCCAACCCTGTTGCTCATCCACGATGGTTACCATTAACTCAGTGGTCTGTCTACCGGAAAAAGCAGAGATGCTGAAACAAGGGGCAGTTAGGTCCCAAGTGTAGCTGTGCTGCCCACGTGACCTTGGGCAAGGGACCTAGCCAGCATGAGGTTCACTTCCTTCTTCTATTGAAAGGGCTGTGTCTGTCTCACTGGGTGGGAGGGAAGATTAAATGAGAAGAAGACTAAAGACCCTGGAACGCAGTAGGGCAACGTTCGCTTCCAGGTAGGATATAATTTCACCTGCCTGTTTCATCACCGATATGCCCATATTGACGGTATTAGGCAGCACGATTTTGAAGCCATGATCCTATTGCTTTGCATGAACACGAAACAGTTATCAAAGGAGGGAGAGTGAGACAGAGAGGGAGAGAGACGACAGCTATGATTGAGACCAGACTCAAACGCAACAGCAAACATACACAGAGCAACTACTCTGTGTCAGTCCCCGGGGATTAAAAAAAAAAAAATGCTCTTACCAAGACCATATTGAGGAGGGCAAGCGAGGCATATACCCATGGAGCTACAAAATAGGGCAAACACAGACCCAGCTAAAATAGAATCTCAGACAAAATCATATGAGAGGACAGGGGAGAGAGAGTGATTTATTCCAAAATAAGATTTCGGGAAGACGTTTTGGAAGGGTCAATTGAGCTGGACGTTAAAACACCGGTAGGATTTTTTTTTTTTTTTTTTAAGTAGACGCCGAAGCTGAGAGATAGAGGGAAGATAAAGGTATTCCTTGGAGAAAGGGTTAGAGTGGAAAAACGACTGAGGGGGATTATCTGGAGAATGACATGAGAAAATTGGTCCTCTTCACATGACCCCCATTTTGTCTTTAATATGATTACCAGAGGTTCAGTGGCCAATTCATTAATCTTTGAATTTTAGCCAGGGGAACGCGGGGAGAGAAGGGCAGGTTATGTCTAACCCTCGTGGCCTGTTCAGGGGACGCGTACTGGTGACTTCATCTAAGGAACTGGGAGGGAACAAGCTAGAGGATGTGAATCCAAAAATGTCTCCTCACACCACCCAAGGCCCCTTTGGGCAAAGACCCTCCTGAGAAATGGAAGACTTTGTGGTCAATAGCCTAAACTCTTGCAAGCACGACGGCATCTTATTTGGACCGGCCAGGGGAGAGGGTTTCCAAAGTCCCCACCTGTACCACTGTCAAATACGTTCACTGCAGCCTGAGCTGGGCCACGGAAACTCAACGGGGGCCCAACAGCGGATTTGGAATCTCGGAGCTGATTCTCCTTGGTTGAAATGGAGTCACAGCTCCCCCTTCTGGGAGCTCAAGTGCCATCCAGCCTCGCAAAAAGCCTGCGTGGAAAAAGGCTCCACTGCAGATGGGCCTGAAACCCCCATGTTTTTTCCCAGTGCTCGCCGGCACCCCGAAACGAGCATCGAGGAGTCGGGGAGCACTTCTGTGTGGACGTGGTCGGAGCCTGTCCCTCCCGGGGATGTATATCCCCCCTTCCCTGGGGTGATGAGTCCCAGTCTCCGTGTGGGTGATGCCTTTATATAGGGGAACACAATTTGGTGCGGAGGTTGAAATCCCCTTTTGGGGAATATGGCAAGTAGGAAAGGTTTCTAAATCTGTGTGCACATGTGTGTGTGTGAGCGCATGTGTACACGCGTGCTTGGGCATGATCCTGCCACGGCAGCCCGAATACTCGCACGGGGCAAGAGTCTCCTGAATATAAAGAAATTAATTTGCCTGTAGTATTCGCGTCAGTAGAAGGGTGTACACTTGGCTCTCTGGAAGGCGACGTTTTCCCTAATAAAGAACTCAGGTACCGTCCGGAGGCTCCGCTGGACTCCGTCTACCAGCCACAGTCGGCACTGAGTCCATGCCTACACGTGATTCGGTGTGTGTGCGCCCGTGTGTGCGTATCTGTGTGCGTGTCTGTCTGTCTAGCAGGGGCAGTGATCAAGGCCCTGGACCCTCTCCCTCCGAGGTCCGGTTTCCAGACAGAGCAGCTCTGAAATGAGAAGCCTGGGTGTGTGTGTGTGGGGGGGAGACAGTGATTGTTTTGGGTGGGAGCATAGTGGTCAGATGGGGCCGCCGCGCAGTCCCTGGGAGGGGGGACGAGTGGAAAGGACGCTGACCTGGGCGGCGGGCACCCGCCCCAGCCCGAGCACACCACCAACTTGCTGGAGACTGTTAGGGAATTCTCAGCCCCTCTCGGGCCGCAGTCCTGCCTGTCTGCTCTTCAATATTCCTCCGGCTTCAACTGTCTATGAATTGGAAAAGAGATAAAGCGAGAGCAGTTCCGAACATCGGGTCTCCTCCTTTGATGTCACACCCCGCACCCAAAACGAACTAGGGGGCCCTGCTCTGGCCTGAGTTTCTGGAAGCAGATTCCTTGTGGCCCCGTGAAGGCTGCAGCCTGCGGTGTCAGCCTCTGGCCAGAGACTTGTGTGTCTGCAAGTGCCTGCAGGTAGCACCGTCACCCACCCGCCAGGGCAGGTTCTTTGCAAACACATGTTTGCTTTTATCTCTCCCAGAAGACACACGCACACGCACACACACACGCACACGCACACGCACACACGTGCACGCACACATATATCATTTTAAAAACACAATTCTATTTCTACTTTTCTTTTCCTCCAAAGGTCTTCCCAGAGGCTGTCTGCCAGCCAGGGGAGACAGGAGGCCGTCCCGGCCATCAGCCCTTGCCCACGCCAGCCTCCATGGCTGACGGCAGCTCGGCTGCCTCTTCTTACCTTGGGAAAGTAACAGCTGCCGAGTCGGGAAGCCATGCTAACAGCAGTAAAACTCAGCATTTTTTGCTGAGTAGGGCGAGCCTGTAAGAGGCAGCCGGGAATCAAATCAATGGCTGGCCCCAGAGTCCAAGCCCAGCAGGACCCAGCCGGGGCGGCCAAGAGACTTACCCGGGGAGCCCCGCGGAGGTGGGGAGGGAGGAAGAGGGACTGGACCCAAACCGGCTTCCTTACTGGCATTCCCCGCACGGCCCCCATGCCCTTGGCAGGATTTTGGAGCCAAGCAAGAGATGTGAGGTGCAAATCGACAGCAGTTTAAGTCAATTACCGCCTCGTTCTGCCCTGAGTTCCCCACCCACAACCCTTCACAGATTGTAGAGGTCTCTCAGCACCGAAACACACGCACGCACACGCACATGCACACACACACATGCACGCACATGCTCTCTGCTCTCCCATTTCCTCCAACTCCAGTGGAGCCATGGGGAGGCACAGTTTAGGGAGAGCTTGTCTTGGGGCTCCCCAGGCCTCTCCGAAATGGGGTCGGGAAGGAGGGATGTCTTAGGCAAGTGCCCCATCCATCTCCTCCCATATTACCGAGAGCTGCCCGCCCCCCCACCATGAGATTTTCTCTGTGATCCTGTGTAACTACGATGGATGAGCAGGTCCCCGAGGACTCTTCCGGCCTTTCCCTTTGGGGGGGGGGGTCCATGCAAACTTGCCCAGATCCTCCCCATAAAGCACCAGGAGCAGGAGGTGTGCTGGAGGTAGGGCAGGCTCTATCCCAGACTTGCCAAGCCCCACAGAAGGAGCCCACCGCCGCTCACTTCCTTCCTCTGTCACCCACTGCCCAGTGACTCCAAATTCCCATCAGAATCCTGGAGCCTGCCCAGTGTGGAATTTAAAGTGACAGCGTGTCATTGCCTCGGGGTCTGGCCATTTCTCTTTTCATATTAACCGGTGAGTCCAAGCGCAGCGGCTCTCCAGCGTTTGGGGGCATCTTGCCTCAAGGGTGCCAATACTGGGGTACACGGGATGCCCTCCTCATCCCCCCAAGGCTGCCCAGACCCCGAGCCCCGAGGCCGGGCGCACGGCGGGCGGCGGCGGCGGCGGGTTTCCCGGTGGTGCGTGATCCTGTAGTGAGGACCCCGCTCCATGGAAGCTGGAGGGGCCTCCCTGGGAAGACACACGAGCGCGCACACCCAACACACACGTACGAGCATGCACAGGCACATCGCGCCCTAAGTAGGTTAGAGGACCTCCGGGCGCCCCCCGACACACACGGGCGCGCGCACACGCCGCTGCACACGCAGGCTCACAGGCTCACACACGCTCACACGCGCACGCGGCGGCACATCGAGTTCCCAGCGCGGGCACACGTCGGGAGCGCGCGGGGGGCGCGGGGGGCGCGGGGGCCGCGGCGGGGGCGCCCCGAGGGCGGCGGGGGCCCCGGGCAGGGGCTGCGCGGCGCCGCCTTACCTGGACTCAGCGCCCGGCCCCGGCGGCGTTGAGCTGCGGGAGGACGCCCGTCATTCGGCTCGCGGGCAACTTGGGAGAGCGCGGCGGCCAGCGCGCATTCCGGGAGCGGCGCGGGGACTGCGGGCGCGCGGGGACCTGGCTCCCGGCAGCCTGGCTCATGCTCAGCCGTCCAGTCCCCTTCGGCGGCCCCGAGCGCGGAGGCAGGGATCCCGGCCCCGGGGGCGGTCGCTCCTCCCCCGGCCTCCCGGCTCCCCGGCTCCCCGGCTCCGCGGCGCTCGCCCGCCTGCCCCCCGCGCGCGATGGGCCCGCAGCCGTGGGGACCCGGAGCCAGGCGGCGGCGACTGTACCGGGGAGTCCGCGAGCGCCGCGGTGTCGGGGCGGGGAGCCGGGGGCCGGGCTGCGCGGGGGGCGGGGCCTGGCCGGGCGGGCGGCGGGGACTGGGGGAGCGGCGCCGGGCGGGGGCGGGGCGGGGGCGGGGGGCGGAGCGCGCGGCCCGGCCCCGCGGAGGAGGGTTTTGTACAGCTTCAGGCGGAGGAGGACGAGGAGGAGGAGAGGGGATGGAGAGGGGCAGAGGGGGGGAGAGGGGATGGAGAGGGGCAGAGGGGGCGAGAGGGGATGGAGAGGGGGGAGAGGCAGGGGGGGAGAGAGGGGATGGAGAGGGCAGAGGGCGGAGAGGGCAGGGGGGAGAGGGATGGAGACGGGCAGAGGGGGGGAGAGGGGATGGAGAGAGGGAAGGGGGAGAGGGACGGGGCAGAAGGAGGAAGAGGGGGACAGGAGACAGGGGGAGACAGGGACGGGGGAGAGAGGGACAGAGGGGGGGAGAGGGGCAGAGGGGGAGAGGGGATGGAGGGGGCAGAGGGGCAGAGGGGCAGAGGGGGACGGGGAGGGCACAGGGGCAGGCCCTCTCCAAGGGAGGGGCGGCTGGGGGGCGCCAGGGCTAGCCCCTAGGGAGCCTCTGGGCCTGCGGACAGGGTGGCGCGGCCCGGGGGACATGTGCGCAAACCCCGCAGCGAGCTGCCCCCCAGCGTGCCCGTGGCCGTGCGCGGCGCGGGTGCCAGGGCGTCTGTGCGCCTCTGCGAGTGTGGTGTTGTCTGGGGAGGTGCCTGTGTGGGTCCGTGTGTATCCGGGGGCCTCTCCGAGTCTTTAAGACTGTTTGTTTCCCTGTACGTGGAGGCATGAGCCCACGTAACCTCCCGGAATTAAGCAAGTGCCTCTCTGCGTGGGCAGGATGCAGGAGAGAAGCTGATGGGACGCAAAGTTCCCTCTATACCACCAGAGGCCGACAAGGGGTGAGGGTATGGGGCGGGGTGGGGGTGGCTAGGGCATTAATGCACAGAATCCAAGACTCCGAATTAGGCCCGAGGCGCAGGCTCTGGGTGCTGACCCGGGGGCCTCTCCCTGCAAAGAAGGCCAGCCACGATCTGAATTCCCACGCGGTACACATTCTGTGTGTTCGCTTACTTTGCTGCTGCTGCTGCTGTTGCTTCTAATATAAAAAAAAAAAATCAGCAATGAAGACTGCTAGTCCCTAGAAGCTTAGGCCAGGGTAGGTAACATCAGTGAAGCTGCCAGATGGAGGAGTAAGGGAAAGGTGATGGGGAAAAAAAAGGGGGGGAAAGAAACCCAGGTTCCGTAAAAGGGTCAGCTCTAGAGGGGTTACAATCCCATCCGTGATCTTGGCCAGATTACTGACCTCTTAAACCTCAATTTCCCATCTGTGTAATAGAATGATATAACCCCCCTAGCTAGCTTGCCAGTTAGCATGGTTGGCGTAAGATTTAAATGAGTTAATTTATATAAAAGCGCTGGGAATACTCCCTGACACCTAGGGAAGGCCCATGTTACCTGTATTCTCATTGTTCTTGTTATTCACGTTATGATTATTCAGGGGGCCATAGGAAAGAGACCTGATAACTTGGGGGAGGGGGGCTAGAAGAGTCCAGGCGCTCCCGAATTGATTAGAAAAGTCTTGAAACAAAATGGAAAAGAAATTCTTGAGTGAGGGATGGAGAACTTGAGGGGGGGGGGATTAATTGACAAGGAGGGAAGGAAAAAAAGAGAGGAGGAGAGTGTGCTAATCAGAATGAGTCTCAGCAGTGCAGGACTGGGAACTTGGGGTGGGGGCAGAGAAAAGGGGAGCAATAGGGTGTGCAAATCTGCGTTGGCTCCTCCTGCACTTTGGTCCGAAGGAAGTGCGGTCAGCACCACGGACAGCTCCCCAGCCCCTGGGACTGGGACCAAGGGAGGGCTTTCCTCATGGTGGAAACTTCTCCCTTTCTGCTTGGACAATTGTCCCCCCCCCCCCCTCAGGCTTCTGGCCCGGGTTCAGATCCTGGACACTGGCCCCCGAGACAGTTCTGTCTTTGATTCAAAGCACAAAGGAAAACCCTCACAACACACACCGCACTTCCCATCCATTTCAGCACGAAGCTTCAGGTTGCTGTGCCCTGTCCCTTCCTCCCTGCTCTCATCTCATTCTCTCCTCTTCTTCTCTCTCTACCCCAGCCCTTCTTTTATTCTTTCCTCCCTTTCCCTCTGTTCCTCCATCATTCCCTAGCTCAGATATGCCTCCTTGAGTGAGAGGAGGCAACAGCAGCCCTGCTGGGAATGCAGTTCTGAAATCAGTCTGAAACAACCTCGTTAGGCAGCTTCCGAGGACGACCAAAGTACAGAGCGATTCCTCATAGCTCTTCTCTCTTAATCAATTTCCCGGAATGGGTTGTGGTCCTGATGCCTTAGAAAGAGGGGACGTAACACTCTGGAACATTTTCCTATCTTCCTCTCCTTTGCTCCACATAGTCAATATTTCCTTCAGGAAGCATAGAACCCCCCACCCCACCCCAGTTCCAACCCCTATTAGACAGAAAGAAAGAGAAAAAGAATTTTTGACTTTCCCCATGCACTAGACATTTCATTTGGACCTTCCCTAAATTATCTCTTATAATTCTCAAAATGCTGTGAGGTATGAGCTAGGTAATATGACCCCATTTTTACATCATAGGAAATTGGAGCTTGAAAACTCTAAGCAGCATGTCAAGGTATTGCTAGCTAGTAGGTGATGGAGTCAGGGATTCCACACCCAAATTTAGGTCTTTACTTTGTCCGCCGGAAGTAATGGGAGAAGCCTCGGGGTGACTGGAAGAGCTTAGAATTTAATGGGGTCACCACATTTTATGCCTAAATATCAACTTAAGTGGCTGAGACCATTGCATCCTCTCTACCAATGGAGTATTTATCAATTCTTGTCCCTGGAGAAGGAGGCAAATGCCTTGCATGGGCAGATTTAAAACTCACCCGAGCCTTATGATTTCTGGGTTTTGAATAAAACTCCAACCTTTCCAGGTCTTAGTTCATTTGCATTTGGCTATGTTTAGCTTCCCTGTTTCTATGAAGAAAGGCTAAGAGAGCCATTTTTAAAAGTCTCCAAAGACTCCCTGGTCATCAGAAAAGTTCTCAGTGCAAAGCATTCCTAATGACTTATGGAGAAAGCAATCGGAACCATATGGATAACATTTCTACAGAAATACACACGGGTGGGAAAAGGTTTAGAGGCCAAAAATATATTTCTTTTTTTTTTCTTCTTTGCCAAAGAAAGAACATTTAAGGCAGCTTGAGATATGTGAGAAATGTCTTGTTCTTTCTTTGGGGTGGGTGTTGGTGAGCAGCTGTTTGCTATTTCCACTAAATTTACCAAGGGCTTGCATGGGGGAAGAGGTGCCAAAGGATGAGGGTAGACTTAAGGAAGAACTTCCCGACTGTAGATCTTGGGTGATACTAGAATGGAACCTTTTCCTAAGGACGTGTAATGTGACAGTGCGATGGTTCCTTTTGAGTCTTCCCGACATGATGATTTGACAAGCTTTGGATCATGCTTTTAGAGTTGTTAGAACCTCACAATTACTGCAGACCCTCTCTCTTATGGAACGTATACTTAGAAAAACACCCACAAAATTTTGCATTGAATTTCATAGAACTCCTTCTTGCCTGTCTGTTTCATAAGCGTCTGTACATGGGCCCCAACTTTAGAGCCTCTAGAGTAGATAACTTCTCTGGTCTCTGGCCTGACCTTAGATTTTATAGGTTGCTCCACTTAGGTTTGAGCTTGAGAAGTTGGAATGGGGAAACCAACAGGGAAACCAAAAAGTAGGCAAACAGCCTTTTTCTAGAAATAGACAAGAAATATAGATAAATGTTCAGTGATGAAATGGGGGTTTCACTTCCCCCTCCTTAAATAAAGATAAGATTTAAACCTATTTGTGCAGGACTCTGAGCCACCTGCCGCTGCCTCAAAAGCTTAAGTTTACTACTTCTGTCAAACCTCAAAGGAGTTAAAATCCCTTAATCTGGGGCACTTTGGGTTAGAACCGACTGAACAACTGCAGAAAGAGCCCACGTTTGCTAAGTGCTGACTGAAGGTGAGGTTGTGTACAAGATTCAGAAAGGAATATCTTTTCTGGCCTCCGTTTTCTAGGAGTCTGACGACCATTGCCAACCCGTACTTATCCCTAAATATTCGCAATGCTCCAGAGACTGTAGCTGGCACATGCAGAGTCTACGGAAATGCCACAAGAGCTAAGAGGAGAGAAAATTTGCCTCTGTATGAGGTATAATATTTTGCACCTATCAAGAGCTATTTTTACTTTGTTTTAAAAGCAGTTGCATTAATAAGAACTAATATTTATTGAGTGATTACTATGTATGAGCAACATTTAGGCCTTCCACGTCTCTCATCTAGGTTTTTATGAGCATCTCCTAATTGAATAGAAATGCCATATGCCATTTAGTATTCTCTCTCTCTCTCTCTTCTCTCTCCAGCAACCCTTCACTTCTGTATGACTGAATCTGGCCCATTCTTAAACATTTAGTTTACATGTCATATCCTCTACCAATTCAATTAGGGTAAAACAAATTTTATCACGAACTGTACAAGGCTGTGCGTGATCTTTCTCCCTAATATGGTGTCTCCCCCTTCACTCTGTCCGACCACACTGACTCCCTTCCAATTACTAGAGCTGACAGTGTTTCTTTAATGCCCCTAGGACTTCGTGCTAGCTGTTGCCTCTACCAGAAGCCACTTCCCATCACTGGCCAGGCTCTGCTTGCTCTGTATCAGGGTAAATGTCACTTCCCTGACCTTAGACCAAGGCAGGTCCCCTGCTACCAGCTCTCTCACAGATGTTAACGTGCCCTTCATAACATGTATAATCATTGTGATTGAAGTTATTGGTGGTATTTGTTTAATATATGTT